AATATAAGATTTCATCTAAGAAATTTGAGGTGACCTTATTCTGACCTTGCTAACGCCGTCCAAGGTCAAATTGATAAGATTAGTAAATAGATTTTTTTCCCTACAATTTTTGTCTGAAACTTTTTTCTGTAAAACATATACTTTTCGAGATTGTTCAGTATTCCGATCTTTTTGGGGCACCCTGTATATATATATATATATATATATATTTATATTTATATTAGAATATCGCAAAAAATATATAGGTGGAGAAAATATTGAGAATTTCAAAATTATCTTTATTTTTAGAATGATCTCAAGAATACAAAATTTCACTGTAGACATCAGTTGCAGGACACCCTGTATATATGTACATACATACATACATAATATATATATATATATATATATATATATATATATATATATATTGTATATATGTATATATAAATGAAGAGTTTAACAAGACTCTATCATATAAATATATATTTAAAGTATAAGACAGGCGATAAGAGCCGATCGCGGAAGACAGTGCGTTATCCCAACGAAACTAAATTTTTCGTTAGAATTAAATATCTGTGCACAAGGCACCAAATTTTACTTGGTCACTGCCAAGATTTTAAAATATGAAATAATCTCATATTTGAGATTTAATTTCAATAATCCTTTAACCCCCCTACGGAAATAAATAAATGCAAGAGAAAAATATAGATTCGAAAGTCGCTGAATCGAGAATCGAACCCGAGACCTTTTGCTTGCCGGGCGACTGCTCTTCCATCTGAGCTATTCAGATCCTTTTGATTCTACACTTTTCTCTGATATATATAATAATGTTGATAAACAAACGCCTTTAAGCCAGCGTGTATAAGTTAAGAGTTTAACAAGGCTCTGTCATATAAATATATATTTAAAGTATAAGACAGGCGATAAGAGCCGATCGCGGAAGACAGTGCGTTATCCCAACGAAACTAAATTTTTACTTGGCAGTGACCAAGTAAAATTTGGTGCCTTGTGCACAGATATTTAATTCTAACAAAAAATTTAGTTTTGTTGGGATAACGCACTGTCTTCCGCGATCGGCTCTTATCGCCTGTCTTATACTTTAAATATATATTTATATATAAATGTATGTATTATATATATGTATGTATGTATAAAGGTGTCCTGCAACTGATGTCTACAGTGAAACTTAGATTTGTATTCTTGAGATCATTCTAAAAATAAACATGATTTTGAAATTTTCAAGATTTTCTCCATCTATAAATTTTTTGCGATATTCTAATGATACCCCTTTCATTCTTATTCAACATTTATGGGGTTCAATTTTTATAAAATTTTTTTACATAAATAAATATATATATATATAATTTCGAAAAATAACAATTTCTGAATAATAAAGCAGTCACTTGCTTATTTTATACTAGCTTTTCGGACCGCGCTTCGCGCGGTCCTCATATAGCCTATATTAATTCCGTTTTAACAAAAAATTAATTCTTTTTTTGTAATACCGCGAACTACTTCCACATTTGTTATCCGACTTTCACGAAATTTATACCAAAATAAATATTTAAATTTTTTGTGGATGACTACTATATTATCTATTTCTTTCTCCCAGATATTTTATTTTACACCGCGTTTTGCTGTTCGAAAATCGAACGTCTAACGCAAGCTGAAAAGGCTTAAAACATTATTGCGTTAAAATTCATGCAGTCTTTTCATTCACATGCAACATGCAGCATGCTTAATTTTATATTAATATTATTTCAAATAGCGCTCGGCCGCACAGGTATACGTATACCCCGCGCCTGCGAAAAGGAAGCGCTTACGTCAAATCACCGATAATGGTAAACACCGCGGTCGCGCGAGAGGAGATACAATTTAGTCCCGATAATAACAAAACGACTATTTTTCTGAAAGTAAATAATTACACTAAACGCTCTTTCGACCTCAGCCGAACGATAGAATAAAGAGAATTGTTCTCGACTGTTCTAGAAACACGGGCCTATAAAAACCTCCTCTCTCGTGATCGCGGGGCTCTTTTCCGATTGCTTGTCGCGTCAAGAGTGTGCTTCTACTGTACGAAAAAGATCGCTTGTCTTTTTCGTTTTTTCACATCTAATTACCGTTGCTTGCGGAACATTTAGTTATTAATTACCGACTCGGCTATTTCTTTTGGTTTATTCTTATTAGTTAATTCTCGGGCAATTTCTGTGCGGTTTAAATAATTGTAATTTTTGTTGTTCGTAGTTTAAATATAATTTTTGTTCACGTTACGCGTGTGTTGAGTGCAGTGCTTCGCTGTCTTTTCGCTTCCGACCTTCCTATCCTGCCTTCCGTCGTGCACATTATTTGGTCCTTCGAGCCGGATCCTCAGGAACCTCCTTTGAATCCGGTGCCACGGAAGCAATAGTGAATCAGTCGGTGACCAGTGCTTCTGGAAAAAAGAAACAGTTTTAGAGATGACAGACACTAAGGCAATCATTGCCACAGCCACAGTGCTATACGGCAAGATCTCGCGCGCGTACGAGAACCTTCGGAAGCTCGGCGAGGCCAATATCACCCTCGGCGCGGTGGAGGCCCGGCTTCAAAATCTCGAGAAGCTGTGGGAGAAATTTGACGCGATTAACGATACGTTAGCCGATCGTGTGGACGAAATACGACATGAGGTTTACGCCAAACAAGATATCCCTTCGTTGGGCGAGGAGGTTTACCTGCAGAACAAGGGCCTCATGCTCGATCTGAAGAGCGCTCTTCAACGACAAGAGCATACATCCAGATCAATTTCGGCAGCGACACCGGCCGCCGCTTCTCGGACCGCATTGCCTAAAATTCAGCCGCCGACCTTCGCCGGGAAGTACGAAGACTGGCCTTCCTTCCGAGACCTCTTTCAGTCCATCATTGGCAGGAACCAGGCAGCCAGACCTGTTGAGAAATTGCACTATCTCAAACTCTGTGTCAAGGGTGATGCGGAGCTACTAATACGCAACCTGAACACTACAGAGGAAAATTACGAAATCGCCTGGAAGACGCTGAGCGATTTTTACGAAAACACAAAGTTGTTAACCCGAAACTACCTCAACAACTTCCTGGCGCTTTCTAAGATGAAAAGCGAATCCGCAGTTGAACTGGGGCGACTCTTCCACGGCGTAAAAACAACAATCAGCTCGCTGAAGAGCATCGATCGGCCCATCGATCGCACGGAGGACCTCTTTGTGCATCTGGTCGTTGAGCTCCTCGACAATCGTTCTCGTCGAGAATGGGAGAGCGTCATCAGTCACACGACCAACCCGCCTACCTACGCCGAGCTGGAAGCCTTCATCGAGCGACGACTTCATACTTTGGAGGCACTGTTTCCAGTCAAGAACGACAGCCGCAACCACAGCAGTGCAAAATCAACCCGGAGCCATCACGTGAAGAAAGCTGAACCGAAGGATAGGTCCAGAAGTCGGTGCGCAGATTGCCAGGACGATCACTTTATAATGTTTTGTGGCAATTACAAGGAGAAAACGGCTATGGCCCGCAGGCAGTTTGTCAACGATCAAAATCTCTGTTCAAACTGCCTGGGTCGACACCAGCTTACGGAATGCGCGTCAAAAAAGACTTGCACTACGTGCGGCAGTCGGCATCACTCCTCGCTGCACGACGCCTTCTGCAACGCCCAGATCGCCACGACATCACACTTAGCGCAAGGATCGCACCCTGCCTCTGTCACGGTGTTGCTCGCCACAGCTCGAGTCCGCGTCCTCGATTGCCACGGATCCTGGCATTCCGCCCGAGCGCTGATCGACCAGGGCTCAGAGTCGTCCATCATATCGGAGCGATTAGTTCAACGACTGCGACTGCCTCGCCTGCCCGCCGCCGTCAGCGTCTATGGACTCGGCGAGAAAAGGACGGGAGTTGCCAAAGGCAAGGTTCAGCTTACCTTTCGAGCGCACAACGGTGACCAGTCCAACTCCGTCGCCGCCTTGATCTTGCCGAAGCTCACTCTCTTCGCCGGAGGATGCCGCCAAAGTCTGCAATCCTGGACCCATCTTAAGGACCTAGAGCTCGCCGATCCAGAATTCCGTTCCGCGGATCCAGTAGACCTTCTGCTGGGCGCCGACGTCTACGTAGTAATCATCCGCGAGGGCCTAAAAAAGGGGGGTCATCAGAAACCGGTGGCACAGCAGACCTCTCTAGGATGGATACTCTCAGGCACCATCAATGAGAATGCACGCGGCCAGCGTGTTTCTACTCACCATTGCCAAATCGAGGAGGACGAGGACATCACCTGCTTGGTGCGGCGGTTCTGGGAGCAGGAGGAAGTTCGTCGGCCATCTCCGATCCTCACCAAGGCCGAACTTGAGTGCAAAGAGCACTATCGCCGACATCATACTCGCTCTCCAGACGGCCGGTATATCGTGCGCCTGCCCACGATTGACTCTCTGCCGGACCTCTCAGGAACAATCCGCGCCGCCCGCCGAGCTCTGCAACACACTGAGAAAAAATTTGAGAGAGACAGCAAATTTTAAACCATGTACGTGGAATTCATGCAACAATATTTGAACCTGCGACACATGAGGCCTGCTCCGTCGTCAACTAAATCGCATCCAGGGGCTTGCTACCTGCCCCATCACGGGGTATTGCGTCCGGACAGCTTATCAACCAAACTGAGGGTCGTCTTCAACGGTTCGAGCTCCTTGCCAAACGGAGACTCCCTTAATAAATATCTCGCAACTGGTCCGAATCTGCTGCCTTCGCTAGCCGACATCCTGCTGCGCTGGCGACGTCATCGCTACGTCTTCGCGACTGACATCGAAAAGATGTATAGGCAGATACTGGTGCACCCCGACGATCAAAACCTGCAAAGGATATTGTGGAGAGAGAACGCCAACGACGAAATCAAGGAGTACTGGCTAGGTACCGTTACTTACGGTCTATCCTGTGCTCCTTATCTGGCGATCCGCACTTTACGCCAACTGGCCGAGGACGAAGGACATCGCTACCCGAAAGGAGCCCTCATCCTGCTGAGCGACGTCTACATGGACGACATCCTGGCCGGTGCGGAGACCATGGAGGAAGCCGAAGTAATGCTGCAACAGCTGATTGATATCTGCAAGGCGGGCGGCTTCTCACTTAAAAAGTGGTCGGCAAACCACTCGCTACTGCTGAACGAAGTGGAGCCCGACGACCGTCTTCAACGAGAGGCCAGATGGTGGCTGCCCGGCGAGAGTCACTCCACTCTCGGTTTACGCTGGCAACCACGTGACAATCGCTTCGCTTTCGCAACCAAACTGACCACGCTATCAACCTTCACCAAAAGGTCGGTACTATCTTTGACGGCGAAATTGTTTGATCCACTCGGCTGGTTGTCTCCAACTACCGTGCTGGCCAAGATCAACATTCAAACATTCTGGCTGCTGGGCCTTGACTGGAACGCGTCTCTACCAAGCGAGGAAGCGAGGAAATGGCTGCGGTTCCAGGACGAGCTAGCTGCAGTGGAAAACCTGGGCGTGCCTCGATGGTTAGGCAGCGTGGCAGACTTCCATAAGGAAATTCACGGGTTTGCCGATGCCTCCGAACGTGCCTACTCCGCCGTCCTCTACCTGCAAACCAAAACAAATGGAAGTAGCAGAGTGACGCTGTTGGCTGCGAAGACCAAGGTGGCTCCATTGAAGCAGGTATCCTTACCTCGTTTAGAATTATCGGCCGCCAATCTTCTCGCTCGACTGGTCGCCCACGTTGTCCCTCTTATTGGCGCAGAGAAGGCACCTCTACACCTGTGGTCGGATTCCACTGTGACTCTCGGTTGGATTCGGGGTCACCCCTCGTCGTGGGTCACTTACGTGGCTAACCGAGTAAGCGAGATCCAGACGCTGATCCCGGACGCCCACTGGCATCACGTACCAGGTCGAAAGAACCCAGCGGACTGTGCTTCCCGGGGACTCTATCCGAGCGAACTGGTTGACCACCCGCTCTGGTGGCAAGGTCCCGCATGGCTGACAGAGGCGAGCGGTCCTTGGACGACAAACAGCAAGGAAATGTCAGCGGAGGACCTCCTAGAGAGACGAGTCCGGACCCACGTCGCCACCGTTACCGAGCTGACGTTCGAGTCGGAATTGCTGCTGCGCTACTCCTTGCTGAAGCGATTGCTGCGGATTACGGCTTGGTGCCGTCGCTGGTTGCTGATTCACCGTCAGCTCCGCCACGCGCAAAGCCAGCCTGGCGTGATCAGCTCCGACGAACTGACGGAAGCCCGCCTCTCCTGGGTAAGGTTGATCCAGGCTAGAATATTTACAAAAGAAATCAGAAGGCTGCAAAATGGAACGCCTCTGCCGTCGCGAAGCTTCCTGCAGAAACTGACTCCATTCTTGGACAGCGAGGGACTTCTACGAGTCGGCGGGCGCCTCAGAAACGCTAACCTGCAGTACAATGCCACTCATCCGCCAATACTGCCCAGCGAGTCGACATTCACCCTCCTCGTCGTAGATGACCACCACCAGCGAACTTTACACGGCGGTACTCAGATGACCGTGTGCTCCCTGCGCCGGGAGTATTGGGTCCCTCGAGGTCGGTCTTTGGTGAAAAGACACATCAGCCGATGTATAAGGTGCACTAGATGGCGAACCGCCATCCCACAGCCTCTCATGGGCGATCTCCAATCCAAGGGTCACACCAAGCAGGCCGTTTCTCCACACCGGCGTCGACTACGCCGGTCCGGTTTGGCTGAGAACCTCGAAGAGCCGCGGACACAAAGCAACTAAAGGGTTCATTGTAATTTTTGTGTGTTTAGCCTCTCGAGCCGTTCACCTCGACGTAGCCTCGGACTACTCCGCCGACGCCTTCATCGCAGCCTTGCGCCGGTTCATCTCAAGGCGAGGGGTCTGCATCACCTTATACAGTGACTGCGGTACCAACTGCGTGGGTGCTGATAGGCAGCTAAGCGCTCTCTTCTCCGCCGCCAGTGCCGACGGACGCCGCATCGCCTCATTCGCCGCACAGGAAAAGATCCAGTGGCATTTCAATCCACCGGCGGCACCGAACTTCGGCGGCTTGTGGGAAGCCGCGGTTAAATCGATGAAGCACCATCTGCAACGAGTCATAGGTGATGCGACCCTCACCTATGAGAAGCTGGCGACGCTACTTTCGCAGATAGAGGCTTGCCTCAATTCTCGACCGCTGCAGCCCTTGTCCGACGACCCTGAGGACGTAGCAGCTCTCACCGGGGCACTTCTTGATCGGTTCCGCTCTCTCCACAGTACCGGAACCGTCACTCGAACGAGAGCCGTCGGCCCGACTATCACGCTGGCAGCTCCTGCAACAGATGAGGGACCATTTCTGGTCCCGGTGGTCCAGCGAATACTTACACACGCTGGCCCATCGTCCAAAATGGTCCCGAGTTAACCAGGAAGCTCGCGTCGGTCGACTGTGTTTACTCCGCAGCGAGAACACTCTACCAACACGGTGGCCGCTCGCGCGCATCACGCGATTGCACCCCGGATCCGACGGCCACGTGCGCGTAGTCGAAATCCGTACCGCGAGTACTAATTTAACGCGCCCCGTCAGTAAACTTGTTTTCCTGGGGGTTGACAACGAAACTGCACGATAATCAGGCGTCAAGTGGCTCACATCCTTCTTTTCTTTCTTTCACATATCTTCATCGTTCTTCTCTCATCAATTGCACGCTCACTTTCACTTCACCAGCATACTGTCACATCAATCATCACTACATTCCTTTCATTGCTACACCCCTCTCATCGCTGCACTATTCTCATCACCAAACTATTCGCCTCATCATAAATCACGATTGACTCATTTATCTAAAATGCCCGGTCTTCGCGACACAAGAACCGACACGCGGCTATACTGTTACGCTCGCAATAAACAGCTGACCGATTCAGCATTCCTTTCGCGATCTAAGTTGGAGCACGTGAACTCCACGTGTCCGGAACTCGCGAGCGCGTGAACAGGCGCGCGCCCCCTCTCTCGCACTACTTAGTCGATTGCAGGTATACGGCAAGGCGGGCGGAATGTTCGAAAATCGAACGTCTAACGCAAGCTGAAAAGGCTTAAAACATTATTGCGTTAAAATTCATGCAATCTTTTCATTCACATGCAACATGCAGCATGCTTAATTTTATATTAATATTATTTCAAATAGCGCTCGGCCGCACAGGTATACGTATACCCCGCGCCTGCGAAAAGGAAGCGTTTACGTCGAATCATCGATAATGGTAAACACCGCGGTCGCGCGAGAGGAGATACAATTTAGTCCCGATAATAACAAAACGACTATTTTTCTAAAAGTAAATAATTACACTAAACGCTCTTTCGACCTCAGCCGAACGATAGAATAAAGAGAATTGTTCTCGACTGTTCTAGAAACACGGGCCTATAAAAACCTCCTCTCTCGTGATCGCGGGGCTCTTTTCCGATTGCTTGTCGCGTCAAGAGTGTGCTTCTACTGTACGAAAAAGATCGCTTGTCTTTTTCGTTTTTTCACGTCTAATTACCGTTGCTTGCGGAACATTTAGTTATTAATTACCGACTCGGCTATTTCTTTTGGTTTATTCTTATCAGTTAATTCTCGGGCAATTTCTGTGCGGTTTAAACAATTGTAATTTTTAAAAATAAAATCTCAACGGCAATCGGAGCCTGTGCGGACGACATGCACAAAATTAATAAATTAAAATGAGATCTCAAATCAAACTCATTTATCAAATTCTAAACGTTTCGACCCACTTCGGGTCTTCTTCAGTAGCTGCAAAATACAAAGAAACAAAAATAAAAGATAATCGGTACAAACAGAAAATTATAAAACTCATATACATACAATCCGCAAATAAATTAAATATCATTCTCCTCCCTATTCAAACCGTCCGGCCGTCGGAGCGTCTCCCTAACGGTGACCATCGTCAGGAAGGAAGCAGAGCAGTGACTCCCTTACCAACACTAATCAACATAGTATAGATTAAACGTAGAAAAATCCACAAAAATTAAAAATTAAAAACCGGGAAGTACACTCACCCCGACAGTAAAAACAGAGAGAAGACGATGCTACACGTGACACATCACTCTAACGACTGTGCGGTATTCTACCTCGACCCAGTCGATACATATATACGCAAAAAACAAATATAAAAATATAAAAATAAAATATGAAAATAAAAATAAAAACAACTAAAACTTATCGGCACTCATGTCAAAGGTCTAATAAAAAAACCGGCTATGTATAATCACAAAGCTAGATTTTGGTAAATTTTTCTATTAACAGATCAAAATTCTCGTTTAATTTATCAGTGTCGCTATGTAAATTTAAACTATTCCTCTGCCGTTTTATGTGGATCATTTCGGATATCAAACGTTTACCTAAAAAAGGCTCCTCGTCTAAAACTTTTACATCCTCCCAATTAAATTCATGGTTCAATAATCTATGTTCCGATATGACTGATAATTGTGACGCGTTTCTTTTTATGTTGTTGCGATGTTCTTTCATCCTAGTTTTCAACAATCTACCCGTCTGCCCTACGTACGACGCATCACAATCCATACAATCAATTTTATAAACTACATTGTTATGGAGTTCCCTTGGTAACTTATCCTTGTGTACTTTAATGAATTTACGGAGACTGTTAATTGCTGTATAGGATGGAATGACATCCAAATCACGTGTAATGTCCTCAATTCTCTTCGATACATTATTAATATACGGAATATTAAAGTACGAAACTTTTTTCTGCGTAAGGATCTTGTCATTGCATATATTTGCTCTATTGTTATGCAACTTATTATTGTAGCGGAAGAACAACTTTTTTAACCGCGCTTGTAATGTTTGAAATATCAAATTGAGAGGATAATTATTAGACAAAAGAACTCCAATCATAGACTCAAAGTTACCTTTATGGAATTTCGGATGAGATAGCCAAAAAACTCTATCAATGAGGCTGATAATGGTGCCTTTTTTATGACAGAGAGGATGCTGCGATTCAAAATTTAAATATCTGCCTGAATACGTCGGCTTATGAAACAAATCAAACTCAATGCTCCCATTATTTATAATAATGGTGACGTCTAAAAAATTCAATCGGTTGTCAACCCCCTCCTCCATGGTGAACTGCAATCTAGGATGGAAAGAATTGAAAGTGTTTAAAACAATTTTAAGCATGGAGGGTGGGGCCGCCAACGCGATATCGTCAACATATCTAAAATAAAATGGAAATGACATTGGAATCGCAGCAATCGCTCTACTCTCCAAATCTTGCAACGTGATATCCGCAATGATCGGTGAGAGGGGGGAACCCATAGGCGTGCCAAAAGTCTGTTGATAACATACATTATTAAACATAAAATAAGTCGAATTCATAATAAAACGAATTGCCAATAAAAATTCATCTCGTGGAATAATACACTCTTTTTCAATATACCCCCATCTGTTAATTAAACTATCAATAGCCATATCCAATGGTACATTGGTGAACAATGATGCAACATCTAGTGAAACTAGCTTCACATCACTATCCACACATAAACCATTTAATTTGTTCACTAATTGGAAACTATCAGAAATAGCCGAATCAGGTTTCGGAATTGCCTTATATATTATCTTATGTAAAAATTTTGCCAAGTAATAAAGAGGTGTATTCCTAGATGACACGATGACACGTAAAGGGCAATTCGGTTTATGCACCTTCGGCAGACCATACGCTCTCGGTAGAACCCCGTCCGTGCAGTTCAGGGATTTATATGTTGTTGAAGAAATGTAATTCTTCATTTTCCATCTCATTAAAATTCCGTGTAATTGATTAATTAGGTTCCTAGTCGGATCTTTTTTAACAACAGTATAAGTATCCCGGTCAGCCAGCAAATCACACATTTTGTCCATGTACATATCTCTGTTCATCGCAACCGTGATGTTACCTTTATCCGCCTTCATAAATAAAATATCGGGATTGTCTTGGATGAATTTACCCGTCAATTTGTAAGCCTTACAAAAACTATTTTTTGTGTGAGCTTTTTCAGACATGGAAATATGGAATTTATTTATTATGGGAAAGGCTCTATTTCTGACTGCAGATCGTTTTTCCACAGGGAGTTTAAAAATATTTTGTTCTACATTCTTCAACAACTCTATGGTGGTTTTATCTTTGTCAAATACTGGCAGACAGAAGTTCTCTCCTAACCGCAACAAATCTCGAATTTCAACCGGTATCGATACGGATGATAAATTTAAAAACCATTTATCTCTTTTGTCAGCAACATCAGGATTTAAAGAAACAAAGGAAGTCGGGTTCAAGGAAACGCTGAGAGACTGAGACGGCCCTGACTCACATGGCCTTGAAGAAAATTCTTTCGTACATGTGTAATAATATTGGATAGGACGAATATTTCTATTATTGAATTTATTTTGTTTATCTAAGAGCCATCTAAATTTATCATCCAGTCGAACCCGCTCCTTATTATAAAAATAATGTAATGATCTGCTTTGCTCACCGAAAAACCCATCGCAATAACACACTGGGAGATCTATCATGATGTAACGAACGATTTCATAAATATCTAATCTAACTTTGTGCCTCTGTCTATGAGCATCATAAATTTCATTTCTTAAAATGTCTTTAATAGTACGTTTAATAATAAATTTGTGTTTCAATGCAGACTTATAATGATATAAATTATTAACATAACGAGAAAGAAATATAAGATGAGACGGTGTAACATTCTGATTTAAACAATCTTTTAAAAAAAGATATTAGATTTTTTATTAGATATTAGATTTAGATATGTTGACGATATCGCGTTGGCGGCCCCACCCTCCATGCTTAAAATTGTTTTAAACACTTTCAATTCTTTCCATCCTAGATTGCAGTTCACCATGGAGGAGTGGGTTGACAACCGATTGAATTTTTTAGACGTCACCATTATTATAAATAATGGGAGCATTGAGTTTGATTTGTTTCATAAGCCGACGTATTCAGGCAGATATTTAAATTTTGAATCGCAGCATCCTCTCTGTCATAAAAAAGGCACCATTATCAGCCTCATTGATAGAGTTTTTTGGCTATCTCATCCGAAATTCCATAAAGGTAACTTTGAGTCTATGATTGGAGTTCTTTTGTCTAATAATTATCCTCTCAATTTGATATTTCAAACATTACAAGCGCGGTTAAAAAAGTTGTTCTTCCGCTACAATAATAAGTTGCATAACAATAGAGCAAATATATGCAATGACAAGATCCTTACGCAGAAAAAAGTTTCGTACTTTAATATTCCGTATATTAATAATGTATCGAAGAGAATTGAGGACATTACACGTGATTTGGATGTCATTCCATCCTATACAGCAATTAACAGTCTCCGTAAATTCATTAAAGTACACAAGGATAAGTTACCAAGGGAACTCCATA